TCTTTAACCCTCATTACGTCGGAGCTTGAGCATAAAATTATTGCTCACACACTAATGGAGGTCACGGGATGCAGCTTGTTTTGCGGTTGGTTCCCATTCACCTTTTCCTCTTTGTTTTTGTTTTTTTAAACGGATTACAATTAGCCAAAGGAGTATTTGAACCCAACTCTAAGATATGATTTGTTTTAGGGACCTCACTGATGTTTTAAGAAAAGCATGCCCCTCCGTTGCTGGCAAGAGAGAGAACTTAAAAGAAAAAAAAAAACGAATCAGAGTTTGGAAATGAATCCAAATCCAAAGATTGAAGCTGTATGACCAGAAGAAAGATTTTATATGATTATTACCATTCATCAACAATTTGATTTCCTTTGAGAAGTCCTCCACGCGCCCCAGTACAGGTCTAATTCCACAAATCTGCAAGACACAAAGTTCCAAGTACAAGGCCATCTCCATTATTTGGATCAATAAGAGACAGACAAACTGGACTTCAGAATGAATCTGCTTCAATCTATTTGTCTCACATAGTTCGATAACAATTGAAATTGCTTGGTCCTGCATGCCAAGGGAAGAAAAAACAGCAACAGGCATTTATATAGCATTAAGTTGATTACAGTGAAAATGAATCTAAATTTCCATCCACACTATTGACAATATATATTTTTTAGCAGAGAACAGTAAACCTCAATCACCATCATACCTGTAAGCCATGTAAAATCTCAGGCATTGGAAGTTCAGGAAAATGAGCAAGATCAACAAATCCCAATTCCTCTGCCCTTTTAGCAGCACCCTTGGCATGAAAACATAAAAACTTAAGGAGAAGGAATGTAATTTTGTAGATCTGAATGGCAACAGAGTCTGAGAAGTATGTTTGAGAAATGTGATTGATATTTTCAGCTGCCTGATCTTTGATCACAAGAGCACTTGTGGTTGATCCCATAGAAGGCTTAGGCTTTGTTACACAACCGAGTGGCGAAAGAGCAAACCATCCATTTCTGCTGTTGACGAACGATGGCTTCTTGCGGCAATCAAGTTCCTCTTTGAGGATAGGAGGGCACAAGAGAGGGGGAGTCCTGCTGGGACTCTCTCCTAGGCGTTGAGTTCCCTGGCTAATAAAGGCCAACAGATGAATACTGATTTCCCTCAATGGTGAATCCATGTCTTTCATTGCTTTTGTCCACAAGCTCCAATGTCTTGCTAGGACACACATTAGCATGAGAGTGTGCTCTGTATCTTTTAGAGATGTGAGAGAAGTCTGAGTTCTTTGTGCACGAGGCCTTTTCTTATCACGATCATCAGATGGAAATTCTGGGGCACTGAGGTAGTAGAAGATCAGATTAGCTTTCTCTGAGAAGAGGTATCGTATCACATTATCCACAACATCAATACTTGGGGAACTGTCACCCAAGGAACGAACAACAGCTGTGACCACTGCCAAGCCAAGTCCCCATATCTGTTGAGGTTTCTCGAGTTTGTCTGATGAAGTTAAGGAAGAATTACCAGTATTGATAACTGAAGAAGGTCGACCATCTGATAAGTCAGCAAATAAAACTCTGAGACATGAGAGAAAACCAGCATTAAGAAGCATCTCAGCACCTCCCCTCACACTTGCAATAGTCAAGAAAAACTTTAATATAATAGGAAATGATGCAACCGAGTTTTTTTCTTGGAGCTTCAGCACAAGAAACTGTAACTGGAGATGTTTCTGCATAATGGGAAACCAAGTGTTGGCAGTCAGAAATCGTTTAAGTATCAGGTCCACAGCAGTCAGAGAGAGGGTACAGCACTCAGCAATACTAATAGTGTTGCACAAGATGGGTAAAAGCCCGAGGCTAATGTTGGAAACCTCTGCAAAGCCTTCACCATTTTCTTTATCATTTATCTCACCCAAATCTGAGTTGACGCAGCTGAACTCCAATGCCAAGAGACTTAACATAAGCAAAAGCTTCA